TCATGATGATAAAAAATATCCTGTTACTCTAAAACTTCTATTGGTGTAGATCACTGTAAATTATACCGTCGATATTCAAATGAAAGCGAAGAAGCAGCTTCAACATCAACCATTGTATCGATGTTGTGTTCCAGTCTCTCATCACTCGGTTCTTTTTCAACGCTTCGAACTGGACACTAGAAGGTCATAATCATCAAAGTTTGCGGCTAGTGGGTTTGTTTTGTTGGCAAGCATGGCTTCGCTTCAACAGATTCTCCATGTTCTTTACCAATGGCAATGGTTACCCCTTTTGACAGTTCTATTCATAACCTACACTATATACTACTTGTTTCATGTCGTTCAGAAACCGCGCTTGATCGGTAAGGAAGGTCGTTTACGGCAGTTCATTCTGCAAAGTTGTCCGATTGTCAGCGAACAATATTGGCCTACTTTCTGGTGCTTCGGTGCAAGAGCTCAAACTGTCATAAGGGCTTTGCTCCGATCTAAGCCATCAGTTCCTTATCGGAGGTAAGGTACTTGTCTTTGTGCACATTTGGAGCTATCTTATCATGTAAAGGCTCGAAGATGTTGAAAATTTCGAAGTTTTACGTTGCGTTTTTCCGGCCAATCGAACGCTGTGGCTTCAGCGTTTACCGGCTTTTGCCGATTAAATAATCTGAGTTCGCATTATCTGCAGGATTTTATTCATAAACTTTGAGGCATTTCCTGACAAGATTACAAATAAAATTAAGGTCACTTATGAAAGACGAGACGGCCATCTCATTCCACCTCTTGGTAGTGTTCGTAAAATTGAAAAGGTATCTGAAATTGATGAAAAACGAGCAGAAGAACATTACCATGATTACATAATATGTTAATTGCACCTGCAAGCAATCGAATAATAAACAGGTTTGAAAATTTATGCTAAAAGTTCATTTTTAATTTGGTAACATAGTATTAGACGACAGAGGTAACATAATTTGTCAATATTTAAGCGCATTCATCAAAAAAAATTCACATGAATTTTGTGTGCTCAAAATGAAAATTTGGAGTAATTTCTAAATGCAACTTACGGTGGTCCACAATGCTCAAAATAGATTTACATGTAATATTTTAAAATAGTTACTTTTATATTTTGATTTGAAAGGAAACAGTTTTGTTTTTCAGTTTCATCCCTTTATTTTACATTAGATAATTTTCTTTCATCAGACTAACTTTGTTATTATTTCTGGTAAAAGGTTTTACCAACAATTAAAATATTTAGAGGCGTCATAATTCAAACTGACTTTGTTTCAGTTGAGTTAAGTCAAAATCAAGGTAAAATATCCATACTGGTATAAACTGACAAACGGCTGTGCTAACGGTTACAATGCTGGTCTCTAGAGCAAGGGAATTCTTTAGTTAAATTCTAACGACCTGCTCTATTTTCTATTCATACCTGGAAAATATTCTCTAAGAGTTTGCCTGAGCAATGAATAAAAAGTACTTTCTCTTTTTTAGGGAGACATTAGAGACCCCAGATGGTGGAATTGTTTGTCTTGATTGGTTTGATAATGATGATAGCACTATTTACAAAGATGCAACATCCAGACCTACTGTCCTAGTATTACCTGGTTTGACTGGTAAGCACTATCAGTAAGAGTTCTCCATGAGGCAGCTAATTTCTGGGTTTGTTAGCAGTTAGCCTCCCAGAGGTGATTAGCATGTAACTTCTCCCTAAAATATCTATACATTGTCCAGCAAACAGGTAATGACAATACCCAAAGTTATCAGGTAGAAGTGGTTATCTTGATCTAACACCAAATTCTCATCACTCAATTACAAGGAAATATGTGGCAGCTAGAGGAGAGAAATAACAATTAGATCTTGGGGGTGAAAGGGTTAAGGCTTTAACTCCCAAGATAGAATTGTTAATTCTCCCTTCTAGCTGCTGCACATTTCTTCTGATAATTAGTAACAAGAAGATTGTGTAAGATCAAATAACAACTGACTAATTTAACAACAAATACTTGATAAATTTGAGTATTCTCTTCACCTGTTTGCTGTATAATGTATGGATTTTATAGGGAGAAGTTACATGTTCATCACTTCTAGGAGTTAAAAGGTTATGGCTTTTTTATGACAGTGCACAAAAATGGTTTTTCCTTTCAATTTCATCATATTCTCAAGCTGAAAGAACAGCAAAAAGAAATTATCATTCAGGGGAAGGCAGGTGTTTTTATGGCAAGTTCTAAGATTTTCAAATTATGAGAGATGTATAGTGAAAAGTAAGGAGAAAAGGTATTTAGATCTTTGGAATGAATGAGTTATGTGTACCTCCAAACTGGCAGGCTTTGGGCATGACTCTGAACTTCAATCCCTGGCTTGTTAATGTTTGCCGACCAGCCTCAAGGAAAAAAAAAACTTATGCTCTCGCAGCCTTAACTGATAACAAAAGTGACACTTTTGTCAAAGATGACAGTGGAAGAAAGAGCCACAAAATATTTGTAAGGTTTTTTGCCTTTTTATTATTTTTAGATGGTATATTTCTAAATTGTAAACTCATTTTTCTCAGGTGGGAGTGAAACAAGCTACAGCAGACACTTGGTGCTACTTGGAGAAAAACTTGGAGTTAGGTAAATTTAGTCTGTCAAAAAGTAGACAAAGTATACTGGTCAATAAATGTTTTAATGTGCAATTGCATGACACTCCTTTTGCTATTTTAACTAGTTGGTCCTCTAAAATAAGTTTCTCTTCCCCTGTAAAATTCTAAGAACTAGAAGTTTATGAAGTGAAATGTGGGTTTTTCATCACTTGAAATGAAAGGGGACTGGTAAGGGACAGGACAGAGAGTAAAAGAGAAATGAAAAAATTGCGAGAATTTATTAATCATTAATCTGCTGTGTTTTGTTGTTGTTGTTGTTGTTGAAAAGAGCTCAAACAGGAATCAGCTTTGCAACCCCCCTCCCTTACTAAAATATGAACATCAAACTATTGACAACAAACTTTCATTTTTTCACATTTCACTAAGCTCAAGGTCCTTACTGTAAGTTATGGACCAAGTATCTTCTGTTCAGATTTATATCCCAAGCAGGAGGTTCTGTAACGTACAATGTGGACTGAGAAAATAAGGTTGTTAATATATTTATTATATAATTCTGGGTTTAAACAGAGAGGGAAGATTTCAATTCAAGTAAACTTTTGAATTAAGCAGGCAATACTGACAATGAAATACAGCCTGCTAAATTGACCAATCATAGCACATGTACAAACTGAGAGATATAAAAATTAACATTATTCTTTTTGTAGGACTATTGTTGCTAACCACAGAGGATTTGGTGCCTCTCAGTTAAAGGTGAGAGAGTAAATTATACCGAATGTCATAACCATGAGTGTTTGTCATATATCAAGTGCAGCATTTCAATTGCAAAGGATGTCCTGCAAAGGACATGCCAAGGAAAATTTGAATAATGAAGCTTTTTTTTTTTCACAGACACCACGTACCTTCTGTGCTGCTAACACTGAAGACCTGAAGTTTGTTCTGTCGCACATCCATGGAATCTATCCAGAGTCACCAATTTTGGCCATAGGAGTTTCAATGGGCGGGTAAGTTTTCTTAAAGTAAAGGGCATTTAATATATTTCAGGGTTTTATGAATCATAATAATTGACCATTTCTGAATTACCTTTGGCCTCTTTAAATACAAGGCCTGGTGCTCAACGATTTATATGAAAATGAGTTTAATTTGCATGCAAATGAAAACTTAAAATCATATGAAAGAATGAGCATGAGGACTCGCTTGAAAAAGAGGCTAAGGGTAATAACAGCCAATTAAGAGGATACAATAGTAGATCTGCTAAATTGGAATTTTCTCCATTCTTGCAAGCACTTTGAAAGGTCAGAGTTATCAAAAAATTTTTCCATAAAAAGATTCCATGTTACCGAGGGTCTGTACTGTTATAGATCACAGAAGATGTCAAAATGTGGAAAGAACATATTAATCCTTTAACTCTCAGATCAAATTTGTAATTCTCCTTACTGTCAACCATACAATTCTTACAATGCTAGTTCAGAGAATTTAATAGTTAATTGGATCAACTAATTATCCCCAAATTAATATTTTTCTTCATTTTCATCACTTATCTGGTTGATGTTGTATTGATATTGTAAGGAGAAATTCTCTCTTGGTCACTCATGGGAGGTAAAGGATTAAGTGACACACTCAGTTGTACTTGGTGTACCACTTTTTTTGTTCTTACCACACTTTGATGTCATCTGTGATCTATTACTGAACAGACACATGACAAAATGGAATCTTTAACATAATTAGACAGTGGAATAATATTTGATTTTTTTTTTTGCTTACAGAATGATAATGCTTCACTATGTAAATGAAATGAGTGAGGAAGATAGACATGGTCTTGTTGCTGTTATGGCTGTCTCTGTTCCATGGAATTGTATGGAGTCCTGCTATTCTTTGGAAGAACCAATCAACTGTTTCCTCTTCAACAAGCATCTAACAAGAAATCTTGTCAACATGTTGTACAGGTAAATTCCACTTATAATATTCTTACATTATCCAGCAAACAGCTGATGAGAATATTCAAACTTATCAGGTAGAAGTTGTTGTCTTGATCTGGCACCAAATTCTCATGACTAATTTACAAGGATATGTGTAGCAGCTAGAAGGGAGAATTATTATTCAGATCTTGGGAGATAAAGGGTTTAAGGGGAATCTTTGCTGCCATTGTTGTTTTAGGTTTACTTCCTTAGCATATGTGATACTGTCTATCAATCCAATTTGGATTACAGAGCCCATCAGCTTTATTTGTAGGAATCTTGAAATTTTTGTTTCCTCTTTAACAAGCATCTAATGAAAAATCTTTTAGACATGATATGCAGGAAAATTCCACTAGAACAGGTCTCGAAGGGGAATCTTTGCTGCCATTGTTGTTTCAGTTTTACTTCATTAGCATATGTGATACCATCTATCAGTCTGATTTGAATCACTGAGCTCATCAGCTTTATTTATAGGAATCTTGAAATGTTTGAAAGGCATGTGGGAAAACTACCATTGGATATTCATCATGCATTGAAGGTAAGTAAAAACTATCTTTATTGATACCTAGTGATGCTATTAATACAGTTACATGAAGTGCCCCTTTAAGAGTGTTACCCCTAATCACTTTTAAATTTTCATAAATATTCGAGCCCAATTAAAATAATTTTTTAGTATGGTTGCTCAGGTGAATGATTAATTAAAGAGATTCTCGCACTTTGATTGGTCAAAGATTGCATGACATCTTGATGAAATCACCTGGTACAACATGATTATAGCAGGGAGGGCAAATTTAGAAATGGCAGCTTTATGTTACGAGATAGCAATAAACGTAATTGCAGAAAATTAAATTCTGAAGAACACAAGAAGCACTATTACTGGTAAGTTTGGGGCAACACTTTTCATAAATACTAGTAAGATACATTTATGAAGTTTTTGTTGATTAAATTAATTAAACCTGCTAAGTTTTGGTGGAAAGTGGCTGCTTATCTCAGTACAAGCAATCAAAACAATTGAAACGAAACATGCACAAAGCTTCCTTTATTTCCAGAGTGTTTTAAAAAATGAAACAAATTTAAAACAGAATTCGAAAGCACCTGAGCATGCAACTATACACCTCAGGCTCAGTGATCACTGTTGAATAGTCACCTCAACTTTATGTGAATTATTGTTAAATAATATAATAGATGATGTTGTATTTGGAAATAGATTTTTATTTATTTATTTTTTTTTTCACAGTCTCAGACAATACGTGAATTTGATGAGAGATTTACAACACCTACATTTGGTTATCGCAACTATGAGGAATACTACAGTGCTGCCTCCCTTCACACCAAACCATTACATACCATTAAAGTACCTGTACTTTGTTTAAATGCTGCTGATGATCCATTTTCCCCTTTACATGGTAAGTGTTTTTTAATGAAATCCAATAATCCTCTCATAAAACATTCACTTTGGTATTTTCTCCCCTCTCCCAAATTTTGTTATGCACCATTTGTGGAAAAGTGCAAAAAAGGAAACCAGCAAAAAAATGAATTTGTCACATACCTGCCTTGATGGATCTTTATGGGAAAAATTGTGCACTGGGTCTTTGGTGACACTTTCCATCTATGGCCCCTGCCCATACACAAGACCTCTGGGACACTTTTTACCCATACAGAACTCTGACCTGGTAAATAACATGATGTAAGATAATATGATTTATTCTTCTCTCAAAGACTCTTATGATTGTTTTTGTGCTGCTATGTTTTGAAGTTGCAGCTGTCTCCACTGACTTATAACATGTTTGGTATTGTACATCTTACAGGCTTGCATTTTATCTTATGTTTGTGGTACCATAAGCACCTATGTTATTTCAATACATCATATGTGTTTCTCTTCTCTTTCAAAATACAGCCATACCACTCGAAACGCTGGCACAGAATCCTATGGTGTCCATGGTTTTGACATCATATGGTGGACATATCGCCTTTTTGGAAGGCATGACAATTCACAAGTCCAATTTCATGGAAAGATTATTTTTCCAGTTTGCAAAAGGAGTATTTGACCTCATTGATAAAGACAAACTAAAGGAAATTGTTGAGGAATGTTGTTCTTGATAATCAATTTTTGTCTAAAATATTTGTTTTGGATTTTCATTGTGTACTTAGACAAATATGTCAATTTTGAAGGCAAATGTATTTATGAAGAATATAATGTCTTGCAACAGCTATTAGTTATGCTGTCACACTTCTGTATATTTCATTTTTATGGTCATTAGACCACTTCAAAGGGTCAAATAAGACAACAGTTACCATTGTGCTTAATAGTGTATAGTCTCACTCACTAATGTGCCACTCAATTTGAAGCTTCAGTATTCCCTCCCTGGGCTACCCATAAGCATATGACTGTTGTTTGTGCCCTGTGGGTGGGGAATTCGAGCCTTTCCTGGCTGGGGTGGGGAATTTTAACCGGAAATGTCAAGTCTTTCCAGCAGAAGACAAATAATATATCTTTAAATACAGAGGTGTTTTAAGGTAATTTGTTAACTTTCACATGCAATTGGCTTTGAAGAAAAGATTTATAAGGTCTAGGTTTTAAATTTGGTTAATGTGTAGAAAGTTATGGTCACTGATTTTGCCTTCTATAAAAAATTTAGGTGGGACATTTGAACACAATTTTTGCCCCAGGGGATTGGGAATTTGAACAAATCAGTCTTCAAAGAATCAAATGCATG